ATGTCAGGCATTCTGAGGTGCCTTCACCTCCAACCGCTCAATTAGACAATCTGGAAATAAACTGACAGCACGAACGCCACTGACATCGATCAGCCGCCAATTCTTCCAACGTCTCCTGCCCCATCCTGGAAGGCAACAACATCCAAACTCTTCGTGATTTGAAATAAAAGAAAACCAACTACGATCCGTTTTATCGTGTAAACAAGCGAAAGCATTAATCGCTAAACGGCTAGTGAAATCCACATTTGTCAGCCTGCTCAAAACAGAAAGGTTGGAAACAGAATTGTCCAGAAAATGAAACAAAATGATAGAAAATTTCTTTGAACGTAAGCCACAGAGCTAGCACCACAGGGCTACCCAGCTGTAAATAGGGATAGATTTGTGGTCTAAACCATGAAATTGTCGGTTAGTGGCTTAAACCGTGTTGTTTCAGCTATTTCGAAGTCCCCCTGGGAGATTGACGAGCCTATGATACTTGGAAATGCGATCATATTATATGCGCTTAATCAAACACCAAATTCGAGCTTCAACGGTTTGACACTCTAGAGCTCCAGGCTCCGTTCCACTCTTCAGCCAAAAACCAAAGTTATCTAGCTTCCAGCTTCTTCCGGTTTATTTATCGAAGGGGTAGGAATTCAGAGGGGACCTCAACATATCCATGTCTTTGAATAATTCTCCTTGTCTGCCTTGAAAACGATGGCTCGGTCATGTGTTACGCATACCGAAACACCGTCTACCGAAACGGACGTCGTTCTCCGTGCCTCCTTCAGGATGACGCAACCCGCGAGGTGGACAGCACATGTCTTGGCAGAAAGGCGTGAAAGAGATCACGAAGAGTTTAGGTGTTGTTAGTGTTGTACGCCTTTCAGGATGGAGTCCCCGTGACCCCGTCTGTGCTTGGCTNATATATATATATATATATATATATATATGTATATACGAACCTTATGGCTGTACGGTAGTGAAGCATCAGTGTCAACACTGATGTTGCCGTCTCTGATGATGATGATGATGACGATGATGATGATGAGAGGGAGTGGAAAAGGACGAATAAACAACCACTGAACATGGACAAAATCTACGGTGTTGCTGGGCCTTCCCAATTCAGAGTCACAGTTATTACAAGGAGCTCTGTGTAAATTATGGGGTTAGGCAACCCAATGGAAACGGATTTCGATGGAATGTGATTTCAATGTGCCAACTGTCTGAGCGTAGTAATCTAAAAGCCCAATAGGATGTCTCACCAAGTTGGTCGCATTAATTACAGAATCAAGCTATGCAATTCTCTGAACTAGTGATATGCAAAGCAGACCAAAATGAAAGTGATGCACTCATAGAAAATCGCTTTGTGAGCAAATAGAATGAAAAAATCGACGTTCTCTCGTTATCTCATAACTAAGCTCCTACATGACTACAAGGTTACACTCAAATGAGGAGCTGTAGAAAACCGCACTTTATCTTACCGATATTAGTCCGAACACGTGCGTTTCCACGAGCCCAGTTCGCTTCTTTAATGCGTTCAATTTCCTGATGATATCTTCGCTTGTCACGCATCATCTGCTCTTTCGATTCACGCAACGCAACCTCCAAATCTTTGATCCGTTCCATACTGGCTTTTACACGCTTTTCCAACTAAAAAGATGGATAGAAAAGATAAAGCCTGTTCCTTTTGTTTGTAGAACACAAATGCACCTCGACTGCAATCGAGTTGAGCGTTACAAGTGCTCAAATGAGGAACTTTGCCTTCCCCCCAGGAAGGAGTATGCTGCTCTGTGACCACGCTGTTAGTAAAATCTATCAAGATTCAAAGCAGATGACTCATGCCAGTTTTCTCCATACATTCATGTACTTTTATATACTCTGATGGTGGCGAGGATTGTAACGCCAACGGTGACAAGGACCCAGTTGAAATCATTAGTCAGGATTTTGTGATACCACGATGATCTCGGTTTGATCAGCCGAAAAATACTAACGGTAGCTTCAAATTTGAGTGCTTTCTCAAGATAAATAAAGAAATTCTGCCCTTGCATACTCAGCTGAATTGAGGGCTAGTTTCCGGGAGAAAATATAGGGTCATTGACGGAAAACCGCTGTGCTAGAACACCAGTGCTTCACCACCCTACAAGTATGTGAGTTCGTTTAAACAAAGAAGGTAGGAGTAGGAGAGGTAAGGTTCACAAATATCCTCCAACCAAGGGCTAGAAAATCTAGGCAGAACTTAACAACGCAACACCAGTGGCTTCGGTTTGTTCCCACATATTTTAACGACTTCACTAAGCACTATAAGGGTCATGTAGACCGAACCGTGGAAGGTGGGTCGCTGAAAAAGCACCCAGAATGTTTTTTACTTCCTTCAGTCCTTCTAAGCACTTCGGGTATTACAGGACTCTTCTCAGGTGGCGGAAATACTATACATAACAGATGGTTAGTGTACCGCGGTTTGTAGCAAACTGCTTGCCACGTCAGTGAACATTGGTACGGCAATCGCACTGATCGTCACGTCAGTCAGTACAGGCTATGGTTCTGACACATGGATAACCAAAGATTTGAAGACGCGTTAAACCCTCCGAGTGTACAGACAGTGTCTCACAACCGTTTGTCACATCAGCCCCCACGGAAGCCCGACGCACAATATGCCCTTTTTGATATTTTTCTGTTTCGTATTTCACTAGTCTTGGATGTCCGCACACTGGCCTTGTTCTTCACACTGCCATCACAGACTCTCTAGTTATACTAGCCAACTGAAAACTTCACAAAGATTAAGCGGCGTGCATCATTTCACAAGTGGCTGTGGTGATTAAATTAGGATCCCTCCACTCGATTTCATGAAGGATTTCTGGTCCAGAAAAAATGGATGTCCGCACACTGGCCTTGTTCTTCACACTGCCATCACAGACTCTCTAGTTATACTAGCCAACTGAAAACTCCACAAAGATCAAGCGGCGTGCATCAGATCCTCGAACCCAATTTCATGAAGGATTTCGGGCCCAGGAGAAACGTTGGTGGATATCAGCACAAGGTAAATCCACTGAAAGATGACTAGGAAACGTGCCAAATATTGTCCGATTGTAAAATTCCAGACTTCGTGCAACTACTTTGGTTAACTCTGGTGAGTGTATAATAACCTCACACACCTATTGTTCATTGAGCTGACACCTGAGAGATTTTATTGCGGAAAATCAAGCTCGACAACAACACATGTTACTGGCTTCGGTTTTCGGTTCAGTGCTAATCTGGGCCAAGTTGGAGGCGCAGTAACATATCGTTTATAGTAGCCATGGGTTCAGCACAATGTATACCATGAGCTAAGGTTCAACTACGACAAAGCCAACTTTTTCCAGAAACACAAACAATGGCACATATCTGCAGCGGTCAAACCTGACTTGTCTCACTGTCCTCTCTTCTTAGGTTAGAACATTGTGTAAGATCTGGGAAGTTTGAGTGAAGATATCGGTCTTTGAGTGAAGCCAGTCTACTCTGGAAAGCAGAGAAGCACTGTTTAGCTAATTCAAGGTTACTGGAAATCATCAGCCGTGTACATCTCACAAAAGTCCCGAGAGACTCGAACCTGTGACCTTCAGGCTATTTAGAACGAACATTAACCGTTTGATCACTTGCAGTTGGTCAAACGTGTGATTAACTAGCACTTAGGTAAGATATAACGCCGCTCAACTCTCACTAACAGAAACCACATCACTCGGTCACTTTTGTTGACTGTGATTGATGGCTGTGTATTTGTCATTACATTGTAGTAGATATTTCGAATAAGTTTAGCAACTGTTTTTCACTGGTGGCCGAATGGCTCAGTGTTCACACTACCATCCGCAAAGTCATCATCATCAGCATTGTCAGCTGTAATAACCGCGTACTCGTCGTACGGTGGTTGAAGCTGCCACAGTTTCGTTCACCGATGATTTGGGGGTGGGGTAGGTAGCTACGCATTGGAGGCGGGAGCTGACAAATTGGTGCATAAATCCAGCATTGTCAGTGGGCTGTCAAGTGCGAGGATTGAAAAGGAGCTATGCATTGAAGGCAATAGCTTGGATACACGAGCGCCATTGAGGACGGGACTGGGCCATGTCTGATAATGTCTCTAGCCATTCATGTGGCCCGTCTCGAGGTCCCCATCCAGGAAGACGGCAGTGACCAGCGCAGCTGAGTTTGCTGGTAATGGCTTTCATACTTCGCTGCCAAGTCATTGTTTGACCGCCTCTGGCTCTTCACGTGGTTGTGCGAAAAGAGCCCATCGAGGAAGTCGGCCGACTGGCATACGCAGCACGTGGCCAGGCCAGCACAACCTATGCAGTGTGATCAGTTCATCTATCGAGGGTGAGTTATTTCTCCCGAATACCATTCGACGTGCTTCAGCATTGCTGATCCGGTGTTCCCACCAGGTTCGTGTAATGCTCTTAAGACATCGATGGTCAAACACTGAAAGTCATACCACCCATCGATAGAGACGATTCGGCTATTAAATACTTTGGTCCAGATGTTCTCTATTTACCAGAAAATGAAATCTTGTCAGCTGAGTTGAACTATGCGTGTGTCGGTTAGGATTCTGTCTCTCCTTCTGCTCTCTTATTAATTTTAATACGACAGAAAATTTAACAACTGGTATTTTTGCTCTTCGGTATCATAAGTGCTCGCTTAAAGAGTCAGAAAGTCAACGTGATCGCAGTTTGCTTTCCGAATTTTCGTCACTCGAGCTCTGTGACTCCACTTGTGTTCCGAAATCTACTGTGTTTCACCAAGACAGATAGAGTCGAACCGCGCAAAACGTTTAACAATGACGTTTCCTTAATGACAGAACAGGTGACAGGTGGTTAATGAGATGCCGGTTCGAATCCCGGCACGGCCATTGGATAGCACTGCTGAATGAGGTCTAATCAGAGCGAAACTCGAGTCCAGTGTTTCGCTTTGGTGTAGACTCACCGGAATAATTACGCCAGAACGGGAACACGACCGTTCAGACGAGAGTTGTGTGACTATGAACAAAATACCTATCCCGCAAAACCCAAAAATTGAAACCATGAATCGTTGGTTTGTTCATATGCAACCTGCTGTTCTAACATTCTCCTTAAAGGCATCAACCATGTGCAGCCGTGTTCCATCAATAGTGCTAAGATGGAATATGCTTGCTCGTGAGTATATGGCGCAGTTCTGTACTTTTGGTCTAGACGATTTGGTACGTGAGTACTGGGATGAGACTCCCTAACGGAACTATAAAAATCCACACCGTCCACCATGGGGAAACTAGCTCGACAAATCCTGACCAACCATAGACGGAATGATACCCTGGTCCGTTCCTGCTGTCCGTCTGTTGACCTGTGTCGCACCTATGGAGAGGGAACACCTTTGGCCTATGTTTCGACCATAAATGACCGGTCTCACGAAGTCTGTGTCTCCGCGTTAACCTCAGTAACCCAACGCATAATCTGTGTTACTGGGACCGTCTGATGATCTCTTCTCACCACTAGCTGTAGCTTTTGGCATAACAGATTGGCTATAAGTTTGTTGAAAGCCCTTCGACAACGTGACCTTCCGAATGTCTTGTCGATTGGGTAACTGTCTAAAGTTGTGATTGGCTCACGTACGTCCATCATTGGATGATCGATTCCCTTTTCAACTGGCTGTCATCTATTGCGCATCTCTGTATCACTGTCAGATAGCACTCAGTGGTGTGGAAACATGAGACATCCCTTTATTCATCCATCTTTTCGGTTCATTATTGAAGGTGGCTAAATCCTCGAATGTATCAGGTAGACAAGATCTTCAGTTTTCTATCAGCCTTCTGTTACGACAAGAAAATATACTTCAATATCTCGCAAAAGGTGCCAATTGGAAGATAAGGCTGCTTTGAGCAGCACATTTACTTGAAGCATATCATGAATGAAGACCTCAGCTTTTCAGCATAGATTGGCTTCACTTACAGGACGAAATCTCCACAAAACTCCCAAATCTCCTCACACTATCAACAATATATAAGTAGCTCAGTGGAAGGATAAACTTCACCTGATGAGTGAAACTTCCCTCTGAGAAGTCGTTGCTCGAGGAGCCAGTCAACACGTGTGACCGCGTGATGTGGATCCCGTGATTGAAGGATGAGCGGCGCTATATCCTGTCTAAGTGCGAGTTAATCACATTGCTGATCAGCCACTCGTGGCCGAACGGTCAAGTGTTCACACTACTAGCCGGGAGGTCGCGGGTTCGAGACTCTTCGGAGCTTTCGTGAGATACGCACTGCTGATGATTCCCAATAAGGATGAAACAGCTGTACAGTGCTTCGAGGCTTTTCAGCATAGATTGGCTTCACTTACAGGGCGAAATCTCCACATGATCTCTCGTTAACACCAAACTCTTCGGCAAACGAGTGTTTCTCACCACTTATGTGCAAGCCTTATCCAAGCAAATCGCGCATCCAACACAGAACTCATCTACACGGTCAACAAGAGCTTTCCATACTAAACATGATTTATTGTACAGTGGCTACTAGGGTAGTTTTTTGGCCATGAGCAAATAACTTTCATTAACCACTTTGTCATGCACAAATGGCCCGACATGAAATATACAATACGTAAAAGGATTTGACTTTACCTCGGAACTAGTTTATTTTCAGTGTGGCGAACACTGGTAGCAATGAAGGGGAAACCCCTGTGGTTAGGCCTACCTCGTATAACTGACTACAGAGAGAACACACTCCACTCAGGGCAACTAGCTTTACGGTCAGTGAACTGATCACAGATTTCTGATTGCAGGCAGACTGCGAGTGCCCCGAATGGATTGCCATCGGTTGATACTCACGCCACTTATAAGCAGCTGTTTACAGCTCGGAAATAACGCGTACCCTTGGCATATACCCGAATCGGGGGCAACAGTTTTCAGTTCAAAGCCGTGGAATGGGTCACTGATACCATTTGCTTTCAGTGTTCAAAACTTAGACTGTCACGTACATACATACATTGACTGCATGACATCAGTGTTCAAAACCGGTGCTTCGCTGCCGTACAACCATGAGTTTTTAAAAGCCATTGGCATCTTGCAGCGTCCCCAGTGAGGCAAAGTTGGTTGGGTTCCCGCTTTCCCCATCCTGGAAGGCAAGTAGCACCGACAGCAACCAAACTTATCGTAATCCCTTTCATACCTCTCTGCTAGCTCAGGGGTTCACCACCTCTCTGCTTCCCCCCTCTGAATTGGGCACGAAAAACAGCACTGTCTTCGACAAACGATGATTCGTCATAAGCACTACATGGCCTAATCAACGCAGCTTCTGGTGCTGGGGACACTCTTCAACGGAAGTCAACGTTGCACGACCGAAAACTCACTTTCTAACTGCTTCGTTACGGATTCGCCGACATCAAATGACACCAGCTTTGGTCTTGAGACAACGGGTCATCGGACGTCGCTGCCGTACAACCATGAGTTTTTAAAAGCCATTGGCATCTTGCAGCGTCCCCAGTGAGGCAAAGTTGGTTGGGTTCCCGCTTTCCCCATCCTGGAAGGCAAGTAGCACCGACAGCAACCAAACTTATCGTAATCCCTTTCATACCTCTCTGCTAGCTCAGGGGTTCACCACCTCTCTGCTTCCCCCCTCTGAATTGGGCACGAAAAACAGCACTGTCTTTGACAAACGATGATTCGTCATAAGCATTACATGGCCTAATCAACGCAGCTTCTGGTGCTGGGGACACTCTTCAACGGAAGTCAACGTTGCACGACCGAAAACTCACTTTCTAACTGCTTCGTTACGGATTCGCCGACATCAAACCACACCGGCTTTGGTCCTGAGACAACGGGTCGTCGGACGCCTGAAGACGTCTCAGTTCCGCTGCTCGGATAGGCCAAGTTTCACAGTCATGCTGAAGTCATTCTCTTCTCTGAAAACAGTTTCCTTTAATTTCTGCTCGCTTCTGTTTCTCACCTTAAAAGAGGCATTTTTCTTTGAACAAGGCCCCAAATGGCATGTTCTAATTTAGAATATCCTCACACTGGGTTGTTTAGTTAGAGCACAACTAACCGGAGGTGAATCTCTCAAACTTTATACTAAAACCAACGTACCTTGGGTATATCGCATCGCAGGTCTGCATTATCCCTTACCAGTTGCTTGTGAACTTTGGTAAGATTATCAAGACTTGTCTTCAAGAAGGCTATTCGTTCGCGTTGCACTCCCAACCCAACCGCTTGGGTTTCAATGGGTTCATCGTCCAGGACACTGGTGTCTTTGTTTACGTTCTGGGAGGAAGTAATCGAAAGAATAAAGGGATACAAAGCGTGTAAAAAGTAGAAAACTGCAGGTGACAAGTGCATCTAGACGATTCGGAACACAGTATAATTTGGTGAACTACTATAAAAGATCAGGTTTTGGGCCAGGTATATGTTGACTACGTTTGTCAAACCCGTCAACAGCTTACTTAGATCTGATTGACCTCCAAAGTCCACGTTTTGGGTCATATAGGTAGTTGGTTCGATTATCGATCGACTATCCCCAGTATCCTTTCGAAGTAATCTTGTATGAGCATCAGAGACGGTAACATTAGTATTGACACTGACGCTCCACTTCTGTGCGAATTTACCTAACTATATTTAGGGCCTTAAAGAGGGATGAAGAGAAAAGAGGATGAGGGAGGGAAGTGACAAGAGTGGATGAGGGAGGGACGTGACATTAGCCTATCGTAAGCATGTGTGGGCGTCCGCCCCTCCAAATGCTCAACCGGACAGTCTGGGAAGAAACTGACGGCACGGATACCATGGATATTGATTAGTGGCCACTTTTCAGATTCCTAAAACAAACTTTGTCATTCAGACCTTAAGTTGGTGAAATGTAACAATTGGGAACGTTTTAGGGAACGTTCTAATTCTCAAAATTTATTCGTCCCATTATTAACAGTTGAATCAGAACTGCGTGGGTTGATGTATGAACTGCATTCATGATCATCCTTATGAACTTATGAAGCACAACACTCACTGATTAGGCTACAAGTTCAGTGGATGAGCGTTTCGGGATTGTACACCAAGAAATTTGAACTCTTACAGCACGCAAGGACAGGATGGATCAAATTTGTTACAATTATCAGGTCAAGTCGATAAAAAATAAACATACCTAATAGAATAATGATGAGAAACTGTAGAATTGTAACATCACTGGTCTATACAATTGGCTGCTGAGACCCCTGTTTAGAGTCATTTTTCCAACTTATTTGATATGCGCAGTGGGTAGATCAGAGCAGCGTCAATGATTCTCTTGAGGCCTCTGGAGACAAATGGACAGCTGACATAATCGGACTTTCAAGGCCACATACTTTGTCCGATGAACAGGACCCATTTTCATTAGCTCAGTAGATCATACCGGGTCGAGTGCGCTGGCCGGTATCAACCTCCGTGGACGCAGCCCCACTGGTCACACAATTTATCCACAGTCTGGCAGCTAGAATGACTGTACGCGGCTTGTAGCTGATAAAATGATAAAACTGATGGTGGTCAGTTACCTTGAATAAATATCCAATTACGTGTTAAGCGTAGTGTGTGAAACACTGAGAAAAAAAACCGACAAATCACTGTTCTAATTTGCGGACGAGTAATATGCGTTCAAGCCTTGGTGAGTGTTCGACTGCCTACATATGTAACTTCAAGCCACAGTCTCTTGAGCCCAGATGAAGTTTCTCCGACAGTGGTTGCCAGCTGACCTGTGGAAATTTCTATCCATCGACGGTTCCAGGGAAGGAATCCGTGAAGTGCATGAAGGTCAAGTTGCCTCGTGTTGCCTTCGGCTGTAGGCCGAAGCGACAAGCCTCACCTGGACACATTCAAGGAATCATGCTTCTTTATGGGGTTCGGGCATTACTCTTAAGTCAGCTGTAAGAACCGCGTACTTGTCGTTCAGTGGTTTTAGCTAACACAATTTCGTTCACCGATGATTTCGGAAGATGGAATAGATAGCTGCGTATTGGAGGTGGGAGCTGATAAATTAGTGTGTAAATACAGCACTATCAGTGGAGTGTTAAATGGGGGAATTGGGAAGGGAGCTATGCATTGAAGGCAATAGCTTGGATTCACGAGCACCATTGAGAGAGATGGAGATGACTTTTGCCGTGCCCTCTATCAACTGATACGATTAACTGGCTCTAGGAAAGTAACGGTCAGTGAAGGGATAAGTGAGGAGGATGGCTCATTAATTCACTCGCAAAAACGTCGACTGGAAAGGTGGGCCGAACACTTCAAGGAACAGGTTTGCTGGCCTCATGCCACACAACCCGTGGAGATAATACATACGGAATGTAAACCTTGATCGCCTGTCGGAAGAAGGAACAAAGTACGAAGCTTCGTTGTTAAAACGTGAGAAGGCACCAGACCGGACGGGCCCTCTTTCAAGAAGGCGTAGAATCCTTGGTGACCCATCTGACAAAGCTTGTTGGTGCTAAATGGAGCGAAGAAAAGGTACCCGCAACATGGGGAAGTCGACAGTTATCCCCATCTTAAAATAAAGTACGCGGACGCTGTGTGAAAATCACCTTGGCATCAGCCTGTTAGCTGTGGCATCGAAGGTACTCTCTGGCTTCATCCCCAGTAAATTCTTGACCATGATTAAGGCATTGTACGCAAACTCCCGCGGCCGTGTGAAAGTCTACGGGAAGCTCTCGTCTGAGTTCACCACATCAAGTAATGTCAGACTGGGCTGTCCTTTCTCACCGTTCCTCTTCAGCTTCGTCATTGATACGATCATTCTTAAGCGGTAGGTGCCTAGACCGTTGAAAGACCTGAGGTAGGTATGATAGGTCATGAGAATGCTTCGAAATTTCGCCTACTGGCATCTCTTTGATTTACGAAATTTCGGTATTCGATGAGGACAACAGTAGTCCAAAGCCTACGGGTATGATATCCTCGTGCTGATGTCCTAGGACCAAAGGGGTTACGTTTTACAGGTTTACATTAGAACTCGACGAACCACCGCGTTGATGGTCGGCACAGCTGCGCACTGCGTTGTTTTTGTTTCGTGTCTATCTCAGGTTGAACTTCCTTCTCATGTCCACCGAGTAGGATGGTTGGTTCAAGGCAGCTAGATGCAGCAGTTTATTTGATCTACGTCAAGAAGTTGTGTCCAGGACACTACAGAACAACTTGTTTTCACATCTTCCTATTGGTTTCTGGCCTGCCTACCATGTGCTGCCGCCCTGCAAGCTTGTCGTCCGATAGGGCGCTCTCATCAACATATTTCAGGTCCGTAATTCCGGCTTGGAGACTCAAATGGATAACAGAGCATTCCATGATGTCTTCCTGGGTGGTCAGGAGCACCGGTGTCGTACACCGGACACAAAATTGAACTCGGGGGTTTCATCACAGTAGGTGCCTTCGAGAACCAGCATTTAGCGCACATCATTCACAGTTGAAAGTGCATTTTTCTTACCATTCATCCCATTCCATTCAAACTTTGTGCAAACATTCAGGTAACACTCGAGGCCAAAAAACGCACCTTCTTCACTCTATTCTTCAAATCAGCGATGAAATTCCTACGGAGTGAGTGTAGCACCTCCAATTCATGCATGACCGTGTCTTCCATGGCCTTCAGTTCATTTTTGGCTTGTTCTTTTAAGGCAATTGGTGGCTCATTCTTCCCGGATTCTAGACCATCCAGGCGGCGTTGGAGTAATTCGGTCTCTGTGACGAATCGTTCCAGTTGCACTTTGAGAATGATATTCTCTCTGGTTAATTGGAGAGAAGAGAACGCAGAGGATTTTCGGAGTCGTATGGTCGGTGAGTTTGTTTTTACACAACGGCATGGCTCTGAAAGGTGATCTGAAAACGGTCTCAAAACGCAGGAGGTAATCTTGCAAAAAAAACTTGTAATGATGTGGAACTCGCGTTTCTCTAATATGAGCCATCTGATAGGTGTTCATTCAACAAACGAATTACAACACCGTTAGAAATTACTTCCGTCGCCTTATGCTAGTCCAATTTGGGTTCAGGTAAGACATAAGGTTGATGGAAACTCGGAGACCGCACCTACCTGATGAGCCTAAAGAAAGGCAAAACCGGTCGTGGGTTGTCGAAGAGTTTTCAGCAACCTTGTGAGTGGTTTCCTCTATGAAAATATACTGCGATATCTCGAATATCATGCCAACTGAAACATGAGGCGGCCTGTGTGCAACACATTCAGTCGTAGAATATCATAAACGAGAGATTTAGTTGAGTCTCTCGTGAAAACTAAATTGATTTACAAATGAATGTATTTCTCGAATTACAACACCGTTAGAAATTACTTCCATCGCCCTATTTAAAGCTGATTTTCTCAAAATAGCTGCACAAACTGGTAGCCGTGTGGGTTTGCTGACATTTCGGCCGGATTTATAGAGATAGAGTTAACAGATTTAACGGCACTGTATTTCTCAGGGGTGTGAATTCAATTGTCAGATTCTTGAAAATAACCCCGAAATGCCTGGAACTTACTGAAACCATCCACCCCCAGCAAACCGTTAAACACCCGGGCCTGAAAAGCCAGCTTCCAATCGAACACTCAAGCAATCGGTTCAAAAGCAGCTGACAGTGATGAGTATTCAGATATGCCACACAAGCACGACCGATGATGATCAGTGTTCATGTATTTCACAGAAGCTCGGCTGATGATGATGAGGAGTGTTCACCCAACGCCGATCCGCCAGCCGGGATCAATATCAAAAGTGCTTTTTAAATACCGCGAGGCGCTTATCGCTTTTGCACTCGCATGTTTGCAATAAAGCTGTTGTGTTTCTTGTAGGCGAGTCCTTTTCCGGTACGAAGGCACTGGGACCGAGACAGCAGTTAGTTGCAACAACAATGCTACTAAAGTTTTGTAAAATTGCATGAATCCATTTAAGATGAATCAATAAGAGCTAATATACTTGGCTCATGATGACGCCGCACAAAGACCAGCGTGCGCACATGATACCTCGCACAGGTGTGTGTCTAGCTAGGCTTCTGTTCATCCGGTTTTTACTTTTCTCCCTTCTACACGAAGTGTCTGGAGGCTGCAGTCTTCAGAGGATCAGTCTACACTGTTTCCGCTTCGTTTCCGAAGATTGGAAATCTCAACCTGACAATTAAGTTAAACAGATCTCCTCAGTATAGGGGACTTCAAAGTTGGGAGCACTTTTGGACCCCTTCCACTGGCTTATCATTTTACTTTGCACTGATAGTACAGTCCCCTTGTCCAAATACCACTCTGCTGCTCATTGGTGGGACATTTTAATAAAAATGATAATCGTTCAGCTGTAGCACCCTTTCGATGCCTAGCTGCCATGTCACCCGAAGGAAGCACGAGGGTTGGGATACTGTCAGGTTGCCCAAGCCTAGACAGGGGAAGTCGAGAGGCAGAGAGAGTCGGGTTCGAACCACGGACCTTCCGGTCAGTTAATTCGCGCTCTAACCACTTGAGCCATGTCAACCGGCTACCCGTTGCATCTTGTGTACGCGTAGGCAAGCCATTTTGAAGAAAATGAACCACTGTGAGTTAGGGTGAAACAGAAACCGTCAGAAGCCGGCTTTTGTTCATCACCAGCCAGAGACTAAATCTGCACGTTCAGTGGGGCTATTTCTGAGCACACAACCAGAATGAGCGTAGGTATTTAAGAGAACAGGTTATTGGGACAAACTAAGCTGATTCTGAAAGCTGAAATGCAATATCTATGTAATTTAGCCATATTCTCAAACTACTGAAAAGAACCCGGTATCGAGCCCAGTTGCTCGAGCGTTTTGACAGGTGTATGCACCATATGCATATCAGTCAAGAGTACAGCCTTTCTTTTCTAAACGCTGTCAAAACAAAGCTGCATACTCTCAATAAAAATACGTTCTATCGATGAAAAAGTCATCCTAACCCTACCAGTTCAGTTCGGTGCTCACAAACGGTGCACCGAATCACAGCCGTTACAGTTCCGTTCACCGGAAATAAGGAGAATAAGCGGAACAAGGGCCACGCACTGGAGACAGTGGCACAATCCATTCGTTGATGTCAAGTAGTTTTATTTATCTACTATGGAAGGAAGTAAATGCTGCCCCGTGAAGACGATGGTTTTGATGTAGGATCGTCATTGGTCGCTGGACTGTCTCGTTCCGCTGTCCCCACCTGAGGAGACAGCAAGAGTGACACAGTTGGCTAAGAAGAACTCTATATTGCTTGCCAGGTCATGAACTGACCTCCTCTGATTCCAAGCTGAGTAAAGAGGGCTCCACGAGGCAAACGGTTGTCTGGCATACGAAGTACATGTGAGGTGTGACCAGCCGATCCATCGAGGGACAGTGGACCTTCCCGAAGATCACCTGGCTTACCCTAGGATTTCTGGCCCACCAGACCCGTGTAATGCTCCGGGGGTACATGTGGTCGAAGATAATCGGTCTGCGCACGCAAAGGCTAATTCTTTAATCCGTAAAGTAGTGCAAATCGGACCGCGGCATTATAGACTCTACCCTTGACCGTCAAGCCGACGTCACCTCGGCATCACAAATGTCGGAGGATGGCAAAAGCCGCCTTACCATGTGAACCGTCTGGCTTGATTTAGTTAATCGTAACAGATCAATGGGTGAATTGGACAAGAATCCACAGATGTGACATCAAATGCGTCGGTCCGCTGAGGTTCATTGGCATTCTCAAAAAGCTGGCCTAGGTGATGGACATCTCTGTGTGCTAATGCATCCGTGACATCTGATCCCGCAAGCCCATTATCGGTGGCCACGAGGGTAACCAATTGAACCACTGTATAGGAGGATCGATATTCAGGCCTCTGCGGTATTTCAAACAGACAGGGTGAAACTAACATGTGGCTTGTGGCTCAAGGGCTTGTCTGTGGGTGAAATTGGGCGTAAGCAATCTATCAGTCATCTTTGAACTAACTTAGTGAATTTCACAGCCCGTTGTCAAGGCGTAACACACTACTCGCAAAGTTGCTGAAAACTCTTGATAGCCTGTTCCCTAGGGTGCATGATTATGCTGTCTCATGTGACGCGCAAGTTGTGACAACTATTGAGATGAAGCCTAGATTGTATGGGCCAAAATTAGAGTGACACAAGCATAGAGGCGGTCAACCTTTGACCTGTCAGTGGGATGTGAAGGCTACTGCGAAAATCTTGGGTACTGTCGGTGCGACTCTTCTTTCAGGACGTGAAGTAGTGATCTCCCCGTCAACGAAATGAGATGCTGCAAGATATGGCCACGGTTGTGAGGCGTGGCCTGTGCGAGAAGCGAAACTGAGCAACCCTCAGTTCTTGAATAACCATAGCTCGTGCAGGCCAGCGCCAGTGAATCCGCAAATGGACAGTCGGAAAGCTAGTGTTTGGTTGTGCAAAAGAGATTTCAGTCCAAGAATATTTCTGGAAGCAAAGGCTGCGTTGCCTAAACGAGTATCTGGAATGATTGTGGTAGGCGAGTACCACGTCACTTCCACATCCGTTCTTTACTTCACAAGAAACCTTTCAAATCAAATACGGTTGTACGGCAAAGAAGCATCAGTTGGGAACACTGAGATTGGTGATGACGATGACGAGGATGATAACGATGATGATGATGATGATGATGACTAATGTTTTCAGTCAAAAGACACGGTTTACATCCTCCTATAGAACACCCAGCTTAGGAGAGTTAGAACACTTCCTGTTAGAGGTCAATCCAAGCCTGAATCAAACTTAATTTCTGGTCACCGAGGCCACCTACAGTGAGGTTCGTCCCACCTGATTTGATATTCAATATGGAGTTCCCTTATCGAGGCCAGTGGCAACTACTTTTCGGAAACAAACCATTACAACTATCGGATGATCTAGTTAGTTCAGCCAAGAATGTGCATTGGAAGCACTAAAAAGAGCCCGACCCTTTTCATTGCTGTTTGCATCACATCGTCCCGAGGATCTCTTAACGTAGTGATCCAATGCGATGCACCAAGCAAGTTGCTAATTCATGAGAATTTATTTCCAACTAGTTGCTCGCGGGGTCAGACACCCCCACTTCCATGGAAATGTCTGAAAGCATTAGCGCATCGGTCCACAAGCTTTCGCACATGCTATTTTCCAAGCCTCCCAAAAATTTCGATGCATGATTCACCGTTAAACCCAAGTCAATTGTTTCATTATTACCGACTGATGTTGCAAGCCAAACCCGAATGCGTTCGTACATTGATGGTGATTGGATAATATTCTGTCCAAGTGAGATCTAATCACACAGGACTGATCAGCCAATCGTGGCTGGAAGGTTAAGTATTCAACCACTGATTGAAAGTTTGCGGGTTCGGAGCCCTCTGAGTTTCGCATGAAGCACACCGTTGACGATTTCCAACACGGATGGAGCAGCTGTACAGTGATTCTGGTGTACTCAGCATAGATTGGCTCCCCTCACAAGACGAGATCTTTATTGAAACTACATACATAGTTAAGAGCCTTTAGGCTTCATTAAAGCGGGATGGACCAATGTAGATAGAATTACTTCCAGCCTGTTGGCAGTACGGTACTAGAGAAGCGCAGATTACCTGTTGGGTCGCTCGATTCTGCCCAGAACAGCAGCACAGATCGACTCCCTTCAAAAGACCAGATCTTTATTGAAACTACATACATAGTTAAGAGCGTTAAGGCTTCATTAAAACGAGGTGGACTAATGTAGATGGAGTAACTTCCAGCCTGTTGGAAGTCTGGTAATACGAAAGCGCAGATTATCTGTTGAGTCGCTCGATTCTGCCCAGAACATTTCGTGGTACTTTACCCGCTTGACTAACCTGTCTTCACACTACATATCACACAGTCAAAATTTTGTAGCACAACACTGAAACACCAAACGCGGTCGAGGTTTCCACGACGCTTTCACCTACTCCTTTAGTTTGTCTGCCTCGTTGTGTGCACATTGTGCATCACCTTTTGCTTTGGCCAGCTGATCTTGAATGTGTGTGGCAGTACGTTCCATAGCATGCTGAATCCGGGAGAAGATTTGTTCGGACATCCCACCGACTTGTTTTAATTCTGTCAAGAGTTGTTTTGCTGACCGTTGCTGAAGCAATTCCTTGTTGAGCATTTGGAGTTCCGCTTCCAGTTGCGTAATTTGGCTTTGTTTTCGGGTGATCGTCTTCTCGGATTCTTTTAATAAGTTCATCAACTGGAGAGAAAGGCAACAGGGGTTAAAATGAATTCAAAATAACTTGAGGTTGGGTGGATAAAATTTTTCACCTACCTGATAAGAACATCCAAGAAAATCTTGCAAGCACTTGAGAGTGTATGATTCCGTACTTACTATTTAAATATAGCACAAACTAGACGAAAAGTAAGCGCGAGCTTTTCCACAGAAAACGATCCAGTGTATTTGCTTCATTTTTCGCCTACTTATGAGTAGTTCATGAAGGCACCCACTTTCGTAATAAAAAAACCGTAAATGGGAGGCTACGATATGAGAGCTTAACTGTACAGGCGAAACGCTGGCAGCAGGCAGCTACTCCGGCCTACACTTAGGGACGATAAAGAGGGTTTGCTTTGGATTAAGAGAGCTGCCTGACCATTCAGTGTTCCTTCCGAACAGGGTCGCAAAGACAAATGGTCTTCGTTGGTCGACCGAACGCAGTATGTCTTTATTGACTATCCGATCAAAGAATAATGTGTACACCTCAAATTCGGCGGTCATTCCTTACTGGGTCTAGATACTGAAGTCAATATCTTTCTTAGTTGAGGCTTAACCAGACTCACTGGGTATCCTATTTCTTGAAGTCTGTTGACAATCTCGATTTGAGCTGCCGTTCGGTCGATCTCTTCTGTGCACAGCGCTCTGACTCGACGAAACATCGATGAGGCAATGCTGGCGTGCACGGACTTTGGGTGTGCTGATGAATAGCTTAAGACGGTTCCCATGTCTGTTGGTTTTTTTGTAGATAGACATTTTCAATTTCCCACCGATCTTATGTGTTATACAGTCCAGAAAGAATAATGTGCCCGGAGTGGACTCTATTTCCATGCTAAACTTGATGTGTGCCCACGTTATCTCGTTTGATTACAACAAAGGTGTCGTCAACATAACGCCAAAAACTTTCGGTGGACAATAATATCCAGCCAAGGCCACTCGTTCGAAGTCCACGAACCTCGGAACCTAGTTACTTGACCTGACAAAGCTTTTGTGTCAAAAGCGAAAACGATGTTAATCCTGACCTTTTTGGCGTGGTATGTGGCGCATCTTAGGCCTGGGGACTGTTGTCCTTCTGGGATAGGCTGAGGTCATCATTCAAGGGCTATGAAATTCGAAACTAGATACAAGGGATCGAAGTGAAGTAGCCTTCAGTGGAGACGGTAATCTTTCACAGATACTTGTGTTTATCAAAATAGCAGTGTCAGTTTTCGTGCCCACAAGTTCAATTCAGGTGTTCGTGCTTCATCTGGATTGTGCAATTCTGACTGCTGCCAAGAGAATCATCGTGTTACCGAAACATTCAGCACCAAGATTTTTAGACTATACAACGGTTCCCCTGTGGCCAGTGCCAAATTGTTTGCCCTAGTTTGGCCTAGACAACATCCTTCGATGGTGGAAACCAGTCAGCAGTTCGTCGTGCGTGGAGCAAACCTTATCTGGTCTGTCTCGAAGTATCTAAGCCCTCATTGACCTGTTGTCACAGTGTCATTTGGTCGGAAGTTGTACTCTTGTAAACCATTGCCTGACTTGTAACCTTGATTCGTAACTTCACTGAGCAACAAGCCTAAATTCCGTAAGATTTTTAAAATCCCGAACCTTTTTTCGGGATCGATGAAATGCGTGTCAGCACCAAAAACAGTGGAAACAGGTTCTCACTAGTGTATGGGAAACTTCAGTTATGTTCGGCTGCCCTTTTGTAGAAAGCCAATAAAGGCCAGTCCACCTGACAGTCCCCAGAGGGTGGTCCTTTCTCAGAGAGCTCGCACACTACATCAAACACTTCTAGTTTTGGGGGACCACAGAAGTACTTCAGGTTCGTGTAACTAAAAATCACCTTGGGAGAACCAAATTTGGACCTACACTCCTCTACTCTGTGGACAGTCATGTGACTAACTGTGTCTGAGAACCCAAGACCTAAATTTTGCTTACTTTCTGTACGAAGGAGACTTTGACAGTAGTTTTCTTCTGGGAGTTAAGAGTAGTACTGTAACCAAACCTCGTCTGACCGGACTTAAGCGGCCTTAAGTGGGGGAGAACTGCTGCACCGTATCCTACACCCTCCAGTCCCAGACTGTGTGTGAAACCGAATCGCGTAGAAGGCATTCATGAGTAGCTGAAATAATGTAGGATGACCGAAGATGTAAATCGAACTTTAGACCATCGTCAGAAGTCGTGAATACTATTGTTTGCTCTGCGGCGAGGTGGGTCTTTTTGTGTGATCTTCTAGTAAACACCATCCATTCACTCACCTCTTTTGTCTTGCGCTCGACATCACGCTGAAACTCCCCGAAATCCATTGATGAGTTGGGCAGATTCCTGGACGATCCCAAAGGTGGACCTTGTAAGGAATGCCCCTCACTTGGACGAACGTCGGCATGTTTTATCAGAGTTTGTAATTCGGATTTGATCTGTAGCACATAGAGTTTGAGGACAGCGGCCTGTTCTTCCACTGCGTCCGATTTGTCTGGAGGGGTGCGCTGAAGAAAAACAAGGTTCTATAGTCTTGAATTGGAGTCTGTTTAGAATCATAAGACAATTGGTACATCATAAGTCTAGTAATACTTTAGTAGTTTTGCCTTGAGGGTTCTCGAAACCCGGAGCTTTCCAAGGTAAACTGAGCATCCTGAGAATACTCAACCCCTAGATTACATAAGCTGTCGATGTCAGAAGGCTGTTGGACAAATACACAGCTGACGGACATCCAGAAAAGATGATGTTCAACTGGATCGGTCATCACCATCAGCGAAATACAGGAACGGTCTGCAGCAGGAGATACGGATGGGGATAATACTGTCACCTGCACGATGTCATTTTATCCCTCCTGTGGATGTACACACACATTGGTCAAGTGAACTAGCCTCTCCCAATCAAATTTCTAAGCAATCTATATAAATTAGTATAAATCAAGCTTTTCACGCTACAAACTGCAAGGACACCCCAGACTGATGCTGGCCTGTTGATCATCGAAGTGAAGACTTGCCTTCGCGGTGACAAGAGCCAGTGTCATTCAAAGCCACAAACTAGATCTGTACATTCAGGAGGACTTGGTTCTGAATACAGTCCTAACTCGGTACGGTCGCACTTGAAAGCGCCTAAACCTACCAAGCTCCAAACTTACGTTGTGCCGCCTTCACTCTCTGAACCTTTCATAGGCCCACTGAAAGTGTTTCAGTGGACCGACAAGATACATCCGCTTTCAGCAGAGACGTCTTCGTGTAACCTGACTCTGAGGTTATTGCAGTAAACTGTGGATGTTGTGTCGTCCGGAGGTAACCTGAAGAAGCCAAAGTCGAGCACAGGAACAGGTCTTTTTTTGTCGCTAAATAATGCGGTTATATACATCGGAAAATGGCAGGAATTGGCTGGGACTTGCTCTTCACCGAATAACCAATAGGAAACAACAGTTATGCATGATCGGGTAGACAACTAACGAAATGCAACGACCAATGGAGTCACATGTGAGAGTGGAACGATGATAAATCAATAGGGGCTCAGCACGATGCAATCTGGTGGCTGAACATGTGATGACGACAAATATAAGCAAAATGTGAGAATTGATCAGAATCGATCAGTCCGTAGTTAAGACGAAATTTTTGGCAATTAACAGTTCGTTCTGGTAACAGTGGAAGTATTTGTTGACCTACCGGTGCTTTGGGAGTGCATAAGCTGCTGAGGTCAGGTGTTGCTTGTCGTCTTTACCAGGTCAAATCAATAGAGAGTTGGGCTCTTGATAACTGTTCACAGCCGCAGTAAGAACCTATGGATGATGTTACCCTAATAGGACGATATCGATTGGGGATTCGAGTCAAAACTTCGCCTTTAATTTAATGTTAGTAGTAGCTGCGTATAGTCCCTTTGTCAGTCGTGAAGACATTGGTTACGAACGAGCATACTTCAACATGGAAGTGTCAAGCGTTTTTAATAAGAATTTTAAAAGATTCTGCTCCTTTTATCCACTTGAATATTACAGCAAGAAGTCAAAGTTTGCGGAAGGGTGATATTTTGCTTTTATCTCACTAAAAAAACTCAATTTCGCATAATAAATCAGAATAAATAACAATTAATAAAACTTCGGCGGGCCTGGTCCAATCGTGAACCAATGAGATCCGGTTCTCACGTTCAAAGTAAGCTGATGGCGTGCGGACTTGGGCCCGAGGCTGCCCGGTAGTCAAGTCAGGAACTTACTGGCCAGAAGGTTCGTGACTCGAACCCAACCTTTGCAGCTCGACTGCTCCTGTCTGGGCTCGGGCAACCTGGTGGTACGTGATCCCTTGTGCTTCCTACAGGTGGCATCGTAACTGCACAGTTTTGGCTTGCGTCAAGTTCTTTTGTGCGCACAAAATGGGTCAGAACGAATCAGTTACTGATTTCCAACGGTTATCCAGAGAAATTTTTTATGCTACGGCCCAAACAGGAGCCTAACTATTGAGTGGAAAAGCAAGAAGTTCTTTGCCGGGATTTAGCCTGAAATGGCCACCAGTCACAGGGCATACATTACTTGCTGCAATCAGCCGTATTGTCCAGAAGCTCAACTAACCATCAATCTCTGACACGCGTCGCACACGCGTTGCGTACCGATTCACTAGCAGCTGCAGTGAACTTTACGTTGGCAGAACAGATAGGAGCCTAAGTGAACGCGCCTCAAACCATTTGCCATGCTATTTGAGTCATGTGACTGACCAATCGATCGATGGTGTGCACACTGAGGTCGGAAAACTGGCCTCATTGATCGCTATTGGCTACAGAAATGATCTCAATACCGCGTTCAGAAGTTTACTCTCCAAGTTGACCCCGGAAGTGTTGGCTTCCAATGAAGTCATGCTGAATAGTCGTTGCCAACTGGGCACTGATATGTGTGTGAAAGAAACATAGTAACTTACCGAAAATACTTTGCTCAGCTGCGACCCCAAATCCGACAATTCTACGTTTAGATTGTAGATTAGCTCTCTCAGCTTCTCTTTAATCGCGGCACTGCTGGCTTTCAGTTCTTCCGCATCAGCCTCGTGAGTTTCCAGCTTCTCTTTCAGTTTGGCAATTTCAGTTGTCATATCTTCCAGTTCCTTTGAGACTTTCTTACACTGCGTATTCTTCTCATCGTATGTAACTGCTAACTCCTCAAGCGCTTGAAGGACATCTTTCACTTCTGTGCGACGTACGTCAGCTTCTCGCTTAGAGAAGAAATTAGACAGGTTAGTATGTTATTTATCCAGGCAAAAGTCGAAAGTTCACCCACCTATGTTCATTACTGGTAACGTCTTACGATATTGGATGGATTTGTCTGGAAAGTGAGCATTCGGCTTGCTGTCCTAACATTAACTTCAATATCTTGCTCCAAGGGAGAAATTCGGTCATCACCATCAGCGAAATACAGGAAAGGTCTGCAGCAGGAGATACGGATAGGGATAATACTGTCACCTGCAAGATGTCATTTTATCCCTCCTGTGGATGTGCAACGTTTCGTCATCATACGAGGAGACATCATCAGTGCGCAGTTGGGGTGGGAAAAATCTTGTTCCGGTTACCCCTCATCAGGGGTGGAAAGTGAATTTCGATCATGCGAAACTAAACTAACAAGAGCTACCTGAAGTGTCACTTACGTTACATTCATGTGCTTTGAAATGCTCAAAGCATGGCATACCTCCTTGGAAGTGGCGCAGTCAACGAGTTGAGCACAAATGTACAGCACTGTTCCACACTAGCAAACGTTGTATGCTCAATGGAAAAAAAGGCAGGCATACGAAGTGTTGATATATCTCAATCTACAACTAACGGTTTCAGGGGGATCAATGCACTACCGGACAGCGAGTGTAACATGAACATGACGAAATGCCCACCTGTAACCCCAAAAACCACCTGTTTGTTCTCCACGAACGATATGAGATGTTTGCAAATAGTGAGTTTTCGGTTTTTTTTGGAACCGGGGACAGTCACTTGAGAAGAAAGTTTGGCACTTTAAGCAGAGGAGTAGATAGACAGGGGAGAGCAACGAGCTGTGGTGAACAAATAGCAGGTTTGTTTTTCCTGACTACCTCAGGAACGCATTCTTGATGGTGTCGTCATCATCATCATCATCATTGTCAGCTGTAATAAGCGCGTACATATCGTTCAGTGGTTGTAGCTGCCACAGTTTCGTTCACCGATGATTTCGGAAAGTGGGGTAGATAGCTGTGCATTGGAGGCGGGAGTTGATAAATCAAGGCGTAAATACAGCACTGTCAGTGGTCTGTTGAGTGGGGGGGAGCTATGCATTGAAGACAATAGCTTGGATGCATGGGCGCCATTGAGGGCGCGACTGGGCCACATCTGACTTTGTCATAGAAATCGATAGCCTCTTGGCTCACTTGCACCAAAGCGAATCATGAGTTGGAACTTAAAGCGTAGACTCGGTAGCCGTTTGTCCAATCAGCACTAAGAACACTTCAGGCTGCTGATGAGCACAACTCAGTTAGGTTACTGTACATTCAGCGGTCAGGGCCCAGCTGTTTTTGGTAAACTGGAAATGAGCTGTCCTTATCCATCAATTAAAAATTAACACTGTTGTGCTCTTCGATACTACTCAAGTCGTCTAGCTTTACCGACTAGTCAAAGTAAAACTACAATCACGTCGGTGCAAGATGGGGTCATATACTATCACAGGCTGCCTAAAACTACATGCGTATACCACCATGCTTTCAATCTCAGGTCGCGTCGTGGACCATTCGTAATTTAAGTATCACGATCCTTAAGGCCAGTAACAGTTGGTTACTCAAGATCGAACGCGGATTTCAGGCTTTATTCCAAGAATAAACCTATTTTTTCCGTGAAATTCGATCTGAACATATTAGAATTATCGCTAGTTCGTCCTTTATTTGAACAAAAGATTACCTCCACTGTCATCTGGAAATAAGTGACCTCGCTCATGATCTATCCTCATCACTACCAGCTGTAACAACCGCTGTCGTACAGTGGTTGTAGCTGCCACGGTTTCGTTCACCGATGATTTCGGAAAGTGAGGTAGATAGCTGCGCATTGGAGGCGGGAGTAGGTAGATGAGTGCGTAAATACAGCACTGTCAGTGGACTGTTAAGTGGGGGATTGAGAAGGGGGTATGCAATAGGTTGGATGCATTAGCCATCGGTGGTCCCTGAAATTAGCCCAGCACAAATTTCGCATTTAAGAATCCTTGGATAAGTGGAGGGAGATTGAAATGGCCGTTACTTACAGTTCTATGAGCACTAACTGTATAGCTCTGGACACACCCTCGATTGGCACCGAAAAAGGAAGAATAGGTTGGTTTCCCGACTAAAATCCAAAGTCACATGTTACCAGCCGATTCAAACCTGTTCTGTAGCAACAGCACACCCCAATAGGACCAATAACATTAATGCTTTATCATCGAAACATATCCGAATAACAATCAATATGTTTTGGGTTCCTGTGGATATCGATCGATCACGCACTGTTTTATCCTATGTTTCAGACTCCTCGCATGGTTATCCACATCGTAGCTGTGGAAGGCTACAACGAACAGTGTTTTGCAACTGGGCCGTGACTGAGTTTATGGTTTCATCTGCGTAAAACGTTTCACAATTTCCAATATCTCTCCTGGAATGTCTACTTGGTCGGTTGCGATTGATAAAAGACTATAATGCAACAAAAACCGCGAACGAACCAACCGAAAACGGATCTAAAACACCTCAAAGCAGCCATCCGACCAACCAGTGGAACACGACATATACAGACCACAACGCGGTACAAATCGCAGTGGGGCCAATGATATTATGTTGACGGACTTCCGGGACATTCCTCGTTGAACAATCGTCCCAAGGAGAACAAAGTGGTCAAATGAGTTGAATACATCTTGGAAAACTGGAGTTACCGAGACTGTAGGTCGGCATTGTCCGAGCACCTAACGAAAGAACGGTTTCATGAACTTTCAAGGCTCATTCGACTCGGTCTACCGGTCTGTTCTCCTTGACACCTACTCAGGAAGGAATGTTCCGGAATTTCGATTCAAATCACGGTCGGTGAGGATGGAAAGCTCCAGTGCATCAACCCGACTACAGAATCGATAGTAAACATGATGAATATTCACTCAGTGGCTCGTTTTCGCAATTCGGGACATTCGTAATCTGAGCTCATTCGTTCATGAGTTAGAATAAGTGAAGTGGAGCTACAAGATGAGAGAAACAGCTAACTGGAAATCTAATATCCCATTGAGAAGCGCATTCTCTTCTTATTTGTGGTCTTAAGCGCTAGGCGGCCCTTATAAAACAGTCCCCAACAAGGGGGCCTCACTTAATTTTCGACTTTTTAACTCGAAACCTGGTTAAACTAACCTGAACCTTTTCCAAAAGTGTTTGCAACCTATCGTTCTCCCGGGTGGCTCGCGTATAATCCTCCCTGGTTTGGCTCAGCTGATTTTCCAGTTTGGCCACCAACTGGCACTGTTTGTTGATTTCATCATCCTTTTCGTCCAACAACCGGAAGACCTCGGCAGATTGCGTCTCCTCCGCTGGCTCGGTGATTTGTGTGGAAATCCGCATCGGCTGCAACAACGACCGAGGGATGATGAGGTTTCCAATAGCCTCTCGACAAAGACGGTTCGGTTATTCATTTGACAAGCACAACGTTTAAATATTCTGTCTCCAGCGAATAAAAAAACGCTTAGAAACAAGCTCCTGGAATATTGCAAGTTTCCTTTTGGTTGCGACATTCTATGGGTCACTGCTCTTTGATTCTGGAGGCTCAGACGCCAGTGGAATCCTTCAGCTGTAGCACCCTTCCGGTGCCTAGCTGCCATGCCACTCGAAGAAAGCACGAGGGCTGGGATACTGCCAGGTTAGCCAAGCCTCCACAGGGGAAGTCGAGAGACAGAGGTCGGGTTCGAACCACGGACCTTCCGGTCATTAAATCCGCGTTCTAACCACTTGTTCCATCTCGTCACCAATGAACGTGTGTTGTTTGGCTTTTATGAATGTTCAGAATTTTCATAAACCACCAGTGCACTTAGACTGTCTATAACCACATCTCAGCGGGAAGTACGGGCAGACGGTGATCGGCAAATAAAACTGATGGAATTTGCATAGGAGTAAACGTTGTGATGATGAGTCAACCAAGTGTTTAAACTCGGTGGTGCCCTGCTGATGAGGGAGTCTGAGGTTCAGAACTTTAGCATTTGACACAAAACAACCGCAGTGGACTAGGAAACAAGCTACTCAATCAATTGGCTATCATTCAAATTCGAAAATTCTGCAGTGACCATCATCTGTGATTCCGTGAGCCCCACGAAACGTAATCAGCAGCCTTGTCTTGAGATTCAAACCAGGGAGTGTTTTATTGAGTTGAATCGGCTCTCATACTTCTTTCATCGTCATGAGACAGCTTTCGAACCTACGTACCTTGCACAATGCGGACTGCTCCTAGCTGGTAGGCATCAGGAGGGGCGAAAACGGCCGTGGACACTCGCGTGACTATTGTGCTCCACCAAGACAATAATGTTTGTTCCCATTTCTTACTCTATGCGGTCCCGCTTTCATCGGGTAAGCACGAAATTAGAGGGGGGAACACCATAATCGGGAGATTAAGCTGGGTTGCAGTTGAGTCTCCCGTCAAAACCAAATTGGTATGCAAACGAGTGTGTTTCGTTAGTTGTCACGTCAAGGGAGAACTCAAATGTGAGTGGTACAACGCTGTGTGGCAGACTAGAAAGCGTAAATTCTGTGAATGAGTTGTGGAATAAGGCAGGACCAATCACCAGTCTTCTGGGTCAGGTGGGCGGTAGCCTTGACCAATCACAGGCCTTGGAGATCAGTCACTCACCGCTGTTCAACATTATTGGTCCACCCGCTTGAGTATGTCCTACTGACCTATGCAAGTTATGACCGGTTTTATTGCAAACGCAGAACACTTTGGTTTAGACGCGACGCTACCCCCCCTTAAATGTGGGGTAAATTTACGCAGAATGCTGAAGAGAACGAACCGTTTAGCGCATCAGTGAATGTAACAGTAACTTACACATTTCGGTGGATTTGTAACCGATAACGATGGAGTTTCAGTTCTGGGTGTGTCCTGTGCAAGAGGCATAGCAAAGGACGTGGCTCGTTCACCTGGTGACGAGTGTATCAAGCTATCCGCGTTTTCGCAAATCAGTTCCCCGTAAGCCTTTCCAAAGTTATCCTCAGTAAACCACTGCTCCTTTGAAAGTGTTTCTCCTGTGATAGGTAGTACACAAAAGTAGAATATTTCACTCTTCCACTCTGTTGCAACATATACTGGAAATGGGAAGAGTACCCGTTAAGGAAGAAAACCTCCAAGACAACAAGCTCCATCTCTAAGTCTTCTATGATTTAACACTAGACAGTCGAAGTACAGGATGCTTATTCTTTAAGAAAACGTTGCCAGATTATTAGGAGAACCAGCTCCGAACGTAACCGGACTACATGACAGCCAATGGAATAACCGTTTTCGTTGAGACAGATTTCATTGGTTGTTTTTCACTCGCCCTTGACAGATGAGTTCTATTCTTAGTATCATTTTTGACCGCTTGCACGCGACAGTGATCAATAGAGCAACTGGCTCGCACATTCATTGGCTTTTCTGGTTTGGCCAAGTGCACCAGTCGATCAAGTGGTTAGCCAGACCGGGGTCCACGGTAATAAGAAGGCATTAAGGTACTGTGGTCCACAACAGATATTAACTGGGACAACTTCAGAAAAACGGGGCTTTTTTACTTTTGTATGCCAGCTGGACTAAAAGTCACCCGGTGGTGTGATCTGGCCACTTGGCTGTAAGATAAGTGAGATTTGAAATTACAGAATGGTTAACTATCTGGTGACTGTAGAAATCATGGTTTGGTTCTGTGCCTACGGTTTCGTAGCTTGACTTCGAAAGCACGCTCACGCACAAACGTACGTAAATAGATAGATACCATTGGAAGTTGCCACAGTGACTTAGGAAAAGCGTGGTGTCCAGAAGTCACACATTATCAATAAAACGGACAGTCTTGCGGCTCGTTAGGTGCTCAGCTTTCACGCGACCCGAAGAAACCAAGGACGATGAGGCACTGTCAGGTGGCCCAAGCTTGCGGCATGATATAACTGCGTGTTTCGCTGGTTCAGTATACCTCAGTTTCCATGGCGTACACCTAAGCTCAACGGTGACCAGTTACTACAGAAAACGTACTGAACGAATAACGACCGTGAGAACGACTATCGCTGTCATGCCACACGGAGGCACGAGGGCTGGGATACTTCCAGGTTGCCCAAGCCTAGACAGGGGAGGTCGAAAGGCAGAGATCGGGTGCAAACCATAAACCTTCCAATCAGTAAATTCGTGCTCTAACCACTTGGTCCATCGAAACAAGCGTTCAGTTCAGGCTTCCTCATTAGACCTGATGTTGATCGCAATGTTTTATGTTAGAACTGTCGTGAAAAAGTGTCTGTATTCAATCTACGCGAAGAATCCAAATTTTATCGGGCTATGTCGGTAGCTCCCCGTGGCTCACTTTTTGCGTCATCAAGCAACAAATTGTTACACTTGTTTGGGGGTCTTATCTGAGAATGGAAAAGAGGATTCATTCAATAACATCACCCGTTTGTGAAGCGATTTCGCCTTAAAAAAGACGTCGTTGAGATATTTTCCATTTGCAGATCAAAGCGTATATCACCGCTTACATAGTTAGAAAGACATGGGAAGTGGTTAGGAAAGTATGAGCGCACGGCCATGTTCGATTGCAGTTCAACAGACACGTGGGGGGGTGTAGGACATTCCCATAACATCTGTTTCGGAGCTCGGTGTTACCCTTCTGTTGTTTGTTTGGGGGTCTTATCTGAGAATGGAATCCCAAGAGTATTCAATAACATCACCCGTTTGTGAAGCGATTTCGCCTTAAAAAGGACGTCGTTGAGATATTTTTCATTTGCAGATCAAAGCGTGTCACACCACTTACCTAGTTAGAAAGACATGGGAAGTGGTTAGGAAAGTATGAGCGGACGGCCATGTTCGATTGCAGTTCAACAGACACGTAGGGGGGCTGAGATACCTGGGTAGGACATTCCCATAACATCTGTTTCGGAGCTCGGTGTTACCCTTTTGTTGTGTTTACTTACATAGTTTGATAAATCGACTTCACACCAGCTAGTCAGGCTTTTATAATAAGTATGTTTATCCTAATTTCCTATAAAGTGTTTCACGCAAGTTGGATCGTCAAAACTTAACGATCTGGCATTCAGTGAATATAATGAGTCGGGGTGGACCACGTGATTTAGGCTCCTGGTTATCGCGGGCTTTACCGTCTCAAAGATCTCAGACTGTTGCAACTTCATATATATTTAAAATTCCCTCCAATCTTGTATGACTGCCTTCCCGGTTAACAATTCAAGAGGACCGCCCTTTTTGAACTGGTGGAACTGAACTCTATTTCAGTTTTGCAAGACATCCATATTTTCCGTTTTCCTTATTGCGCAAATCGTTTTTACCGCTTTGATTATACTATTTTTGTACCAAAACCTTGGGCAGCCATATATTGTTTTAATTCATGAGTTTGAGACGCGGTTTCGGTCACGCGTTAACTGTTGATCCATATCGGCTTTGCTTGCCTTTTGGAGTACCTCACCGTTTGTCGAAAACCGTTGAGGTTTGTAATTTTGTATTCCGTGTAACTACTCTCATTTTATAGTACAGCACATTTGCGTAGCCATTCGTTCGGAGTTTTGCCGGTTTGGTTGCTAACCTTGGTGCTCGTTGCTCAAGAATTCGAAACGGTCGTTACACAGACGTCGTGGACAGTCATTTCTGGCAGTAAACAACACTACAGCAACACTCGTCGGTGCATCACCCCTCTGTGTATCATTCGTTTGTGCATCATTTTCTCGTTTATCGTCCGTGAAAATCTGTCCGACTCTGCCTATCCAGTTTGGCCACCATCATCCTAAGGTATGGCATGATCACCGGCGCGATTTGATGGGTGCAAGTAAGCAGGCCCCCAATTATCAAAGCAAACAACCGCCTACTGAGGTAACCACCGAAAAATGGGACCAGCAGTGCTTGCACTGAAGCATGGGCGTTTTATTACCAGTCTATTCACACCATCCAAGTGCTCAAACTCTCCACCACACACTTCCAATCACGTTGATCCCTGGATACCACCCTCCGCGTTTTGATACCTGACATTGGCCGTCTAAAAGTACACTGCTTTTCCACTGGTCTTTGGTTGCTCTTGTTCTCCTCTAAACGGTACCTACCATTGCACTAAATGACCACTGATTCCGGTATCCATTTCAGAGTCCTCTTTCAGGGTCATTCCATTCAGTGTCACTTCCTAATGCCGGGTCTTCGGACCAAAAAAGGTGCACATCCGACCACTTTTTCTCAAAACTAAACCTACTTGCAAAACATTTAGACATCAAAAAAGTGTAGGACACTCCACCATTCGGCATACCAGGCATCTTCGCCAACGCGCTGATGTGCCCGCCCTCCAAAAACGCTTTCATCACATGTGACTGACGCTTCTAAACCAAGCTGCTGTAATAAAACTAACATTCATTTCATCACTTGCCGAAGTTCTCACAAACATCAAGAAAGCAAAATAACGCAAGTTCGTTATCAGAAAATGACACATTTTGATAAGCAATCAATTGGTTGTTGTTCTGTTCCCCAAACTGGGCAACGTTTCGACGCCATTGGTGGATACCTCACTGCGCGGCTGTGTAGGTGTCCATCTATTTGTGCTCATGTTAAAATGCCTCCTAAAGAATATCTCTGAACTCTAAAGTGATTGGTTGTTTATGGGTCGTTTAACTCGGAGTATGATTGGACCATTTACGATCTCTGTTGCCTGATCCAAACGTGAGTTGTAAAATGTTTTAAACAGTTTTGAGTAGCACATAAGAGATTCGAAACACGAAGAAACAATTCTGCGTCATTCATCGTAGGTTGACAGGATTTGCGGAATGAAATCTAGGTTTAAATTGCTACCAGAATGCTTGGGGTTCATACAGAAGGCAGAAGAGTTATCCAAAAATACATTTAAAAATCTCAGTATTATCTTTCTGACTCGAGTCTAAAAAAATATGGAGCAAAACTGACCAAACTGGAGATTAGGATCGCATGTGTGAAAAAACATGCTAGCTGTCTTAGCAACTAAAGCTTGTCACATAGAAAGAGGGGCAGGTCGAAGTTGGATGTGGAGGCAACCGACGGCTTACCATTTCTCCAGCGTCTGACCTCCGCATCCAGCGTCACTAGAGCGACGAAAAGTTGTCTAGTGCGATCCGTTTCACGTTCATACAGACGACGCCACTCCTCAGCGGTTAATTGTGCGTTTGGCGCGACCTGATTCTTGATGGTCTTTGCTCGAACTCCGAAAACCATAGTGGACTTTGTTTCCAACTGAGAATGGACGAACAAGTGCGAAGAGCAATTCCCGCTCAGTCGGAAATTACTGACATCGTGTCAACGCTACTCGGGGTCTCGAGGGTTGTTGCGAACAAAAGCACAGTTAACATGCTCTGGCGAAATCCTAACCAACAGTTTTGTTTTAATAAGCCATCCGGGTAACAACTAGATCCGGAATCTGACGACTGCCACAATTCGTAGCCAAAAAATAAACTCCTACAAGCACAACAAGCAACCAGGAAGCAAACGAAGCAAAAGCAATTTCATTGAGATTCACGTGGGTCTTCCCTTAATATCGAATTGTTTGCAATTGGGTGTATTTTGTTCAAAATCTCTTTACTCTCAGCTAATTGATCACGTGGTTTACAAATGGCTTCAGATGAATGAAACACACCACCATCATCAGTATCGTTATCATCGACAGTATAACACAAGTGTCCAACATTTATGCTTCACTGCCGTACAACCACAATTTATTTGAAAGCCTTGTTGTGAAGAAAAGAATAAAGGTGGACGGAAGAGGGACTTAGTGCTAGCTTAACACAATCATTCCGAGGTGCCTACACCTCCAAACATTCACTCAGGCAATCTGGATGTAAACTGACAACAAGATCGCCACTGAAATCGGTTGTATTGTCTCCAACTAGGAACAGTGAGGATCACGCGGTCCCCATCCCGGAAGACGAGTAGTACCGACAGCACCCAAGTGTTTCGTGATCTCCTTCATACTCCTCTGCCAACTCAAGGGTTGGCCACCTCTCTGTTTACGCCACTCTGAGTTCGGCATGGAAAACAGCACTCTCTTCGGCAAACGATGGTTCGGCATACGAAACAC